AGAGATTTCTGAGTTATAAAGAAGGAGAGCTGATGAGGGCATTATTCCTTTTTCCCCTTTTTGGGGTTGTGGGGGTGGGAGGAAGGGATCTTCCTTAGCATATACCTGGAGCATTATCTCGCTGGCCCATTCTCTTGTCTTTATTTTCCCTTATTCTTTTGGCTTCTTTTTCCATGAATTATTTTGTTAATATATTGTTGAACGTGGATATATAGAGCATATACCTTAACAGCAAAGTTTATTTATTCTTCTACAGTATCAGCTCTAAAACTGCCACAGCTTGGACAGATCAATATTTTCAAGCCATTTTATTTCTTGGAATTTATTTAAGACAGCAAAATAAAAGGAGGAGTATCTAGAGTGTTTTCAAAGACATGGTGAGGACAAACTGAGCAACATAAAATGGATTTTCTCGTCAGAAGAACATTCATTCTCCTCGGTAAATTGGTGGGGTCATTCATATTATCTGTTTTTTATCCCCCGGATGAAGTCGGTATTGTCATAGTTGAATTACTCTTAAGAAATACTCCCTCAATATCAAATTATAAGATACTTTTAGACAAAATCTTACACACTAATAAACCTCATTAAATATACTTAACAACCTTATTTTTCAAAACAAAAATATAAACTTTTCAAAATACCCTTCATTTAATTTATTGAAAAGAACAATGATGAAAATTAGTCATAAAGAGAGAAAAGATAATATCGAAATTGATATATTTAATAAAACCTTAATTTACTCAAAGTGTCTTATATTTTAAGATGTAGAAACTCTTTCAAAAATACTTTATAATTTGGGATGAAGAGAGTAACAAATTATTACTGGTACATTGTATTTAATCAAATTTCTTGACAATCATGCATTTATATACCTCAAAAAGGATTGAAAAACGCATGTGAAGTTTTTCATCTCTTCAATACTCACCTCAAGTCTTGCTCGAAAAGTTGTTTGCATTCGCATATAAACGTCCATCAACATTGATCTTACTGCAACTCTTCATATACAAAACACCACCTATGTAACTCTTGTTTATTTCACTTTGGAGTTCAGTTTTCACTTGTTAAATAGTTGTCATTTAAAATGGGGGATCAATAATAAAACATGAAAAGTTGTTACATGTTTATATATTAGACAACACCTTGAGAATTGTTATTAAATAAAAGGTTGCTATGTGTCAAGAATGTTGTACTGTATCATGAATTACCAGACAAATATTTGCAAAAGCCAGAATTCTTGGATAGCTAGAATGTACAAAACATCATGCATCGAGACCATCGAGCCTAGATGACAGATTTCAAATACTTAACCACGTCTAAATTACTTCTGGTCATACATACATACATACATACATACATACATACATACATACATAAATATGTATGTATGTATATGTATAATCATGCATAAATTGCGAACACACCAACATATATTGATATAGCTATTTACGCCCACTCAAACTTCCGTAGACCTAAAAGGCCGCCAATCAACTTTATTAATACTGTGTGGGCGAAAGAAAACAGAAAAGAAAAACTTTAGCAATGCTCTGTTTTCCTATATTGAAGGTAAGATCCTGATTTGCTAGAACACAATTTTGTTGCTTCTGACGGGGAATTGCGTAAGATACTAAGCATGCTAAAACTGCTTTAATTTGAAATTATAATTCGAAATTCAATAAATCTCCAGCAACAGTCGAATCCCCTTGTTGTCATATCGATTTAATCTGTTGGGATGAGATAATTAGCTCCTATTGTTCCTCTTTCTGTCCTCAAAATGAAATCGAATGGTCAATCACTTGTGCATCATACAGCAGATGCCCACTCTTTCTTAATAATTCAACAGCTAATCATGTAAGCAACCGTATCCCACTAATTCACTAACAACATTATTGAGCAAAAATTAACAATGTAACGACCATTAATCATAATATGTTACGTACATTATTTAAGAACCAAAAAACAGAGTATGAAATATCATGATTTATCACTATTTAGAACATTCCAACATTAATTACTAATTAAAATTCTTTTAATTTTTAAAAGATCTAATTAAAACTGTTCGCTGCTAAGTGTCGCAAATAAAATAAAGGTGCAGAAAAAGGAGCAAGTTGGCAACCAACGCGACGAAGAACTAGTGCTAGTCTAGAGATTGATAGTGGCTGTCAGTGGGAAAATACGTGGCCTTCAATTTTAAATAACTGCCTTTCTCCCCTGATCATCAACCAAATAAAGTCAAAACAAAATTTCTGATATACTACTATTTATTAATTAATCATTTACTTCTGAGTTCCCTATGTACCGAAGAATCGAGCCTTGAGTAATTAGTATGATGTACTACGTAAATATAGAAGCGTTGGAGTATTAAGTACGGGTTGGCTTGGTTTTGTATAAAAAAAAAAAAAATCAAATCAGATTGAGTTGGGTTACAAAGGATATACATTAATAAAAAAAAAAAATATAAACTCAATATCTTAAAATTTTGGATCAAGATTTATGTCATACTTATTTTTATGTTTCTTCTTAAAATCATTAGAGCGGCCACCATACTAGTACTTATGTGAAAAGAAGGACCAAAACAACACATACCATCGATCATATAAAAAGAGGGAGAATATCGACTCATCATTTGGGTTGTTATAAGGAAATTATTGGCAATAATGATATCACACACACAAATATATACACACACATCAACAGCTTTTTAATATTTGAAATAGTAAATAATTTTCTTGCAAATGGGCCCAAATTAATGACATCCTCCGTATAAATTAAAGGGAAAGTTCTTCATCCTCATGTCAACGAACGATCAACACGATCCATCTCAGTGTGGATGGAATATTCTGAACTTGATTGCCACGTGGGGGACTCGTAGCTGTCATTTTTTGTCTTGTGCCCTCTTCCAATTGAGAATCTCCCTAAAAGTAGAACCAATCAATTTACAGTGTTCCAGAAGAAGTTTCCTTAACATGAAAGAAAGACGAACTGGTCTTTTAACTTGACGCTGTCTCTAGTTTTTGACCCTCGTGAATTGGTCACAATGTTGTCGCATTCTTCATGTGCGCGTCCAAAACTAGAATCGGTCTTGTCTTTGGTGCTGTTCCAACCCTTCTGGAGAAATCACATTCGCATAGTGATCGAGGCATCTTTAACCGCATCGCCTAGAGTTCTACAATTAATGTGGCAACTAATAAACTGATTATTTTTTTCATGAGAGCAAGCTTGTTGGATTTTACTGGGGAACAAAGGAAAGGACATTTGTAACAGGAACAGAACACAACTGTGAACCATGTCTTTAACTGAAATATGTCATTTCCGTCAAGCAATGCCTAAAATGAAGCAAAAATTTGAGCTCGGCACTTCCTATCGATCAGGCGCCATATCCATTATTACACCAAAGTTAATAATTTATATCAATATTACATGTGTTCTATTAATCTAAAAATAAAAGGATAAGTCTTCAAATTTAGATAAAAAAGGATGGCTTCTAGATCACGTCTTAAAGAAACAGCCCTTAAACTTAGTTGCTGCTCTCTCCGTTTCTATTAGTAAAAAAATATATATATATATCACATAATTTAAAAAAATTAATTAACTATATTAATTGTATTTGAAAATAAAAAAATTTGGACTATGATATTCTTTATTAATTATATTAATCAAACCTTTATTAATTGTTTATTATGACTGTGAATGATAAAATTATGAGGGATAGTTTATGAAATTTGTAATAGATACTTATTGAAAAATATGATTTTATTTATATAAAAATAAATTAAAAATGATAGTTTTTTATAAAAATAAAAATGAAGAGAGTATTTGCTAAGGAACTTGTTTAACATATAATATGGAATTAATTTCTCACCGTTTAAATATAAATTAGATGGTAAGAATTTCATAGAGAATTAATTTTTTTAGAGTTAATAACTTCAGACAAAATTTATATACTTAATCTTATATATTTAATATATTTTTATTTAATTAAATTAAAACATATAAATTTTAATATATTAATAACATCAATGAAAAGTGTATTATAGATTAAATAATATATATATATATATATATGAATTTAATTGAAAACAAGTATTAAGTATATAAATTTGAATATATAAATTTTTCTTTATAACATTGGTTGTGTGGACGAGTTAGTGTATGTTTGGTTTTCAGTTTGTCAAAAGTTCATTTGGTGAAAATTAATTTAGTGAAAATTAATTGTTATAATGAAATTTGTGTTTAGATATATTTTTTCAAAAGTTAATTTGATATATTAAAAATTGTTTAGTTTGTGATAGTGAAATGTACTTTTGAATGTATAATTACTAAAAAGGACATTGATTTATAATAATTTATAATTTTTATTATACAAATATAATATATTTAAAATATTTAAAAAATATAATAAATATTTTAAATAACATAAATTTTAATCTATAATGCTAATAATTTGATCTTTAGTTATTTTTATTTTTTTAATTTGTAATTTTAAAAGATGTAGTAAAGATTTGTAATTTTTATTATAGATTAATGCTAAAAATTAACATGATTAATTATTCAATTTATAATACTAAAAAAATTGATACCTAATTATTATTATATTTTTAATAAATTAATTATTTTTAAATAAAAGAATAAGAGATTAAACTTAGAGTAGTATAGTCAAATAATATTTTATTTTTTAAATTTAATTTTTAAAAGTTTTAAATAGTTATGTTTTAAAAATTTACTGTCAGCTATTGTTTGAATGTATTTTTAAAATATATTTTTTTATAAAATATTTTACTTAAATAATTTTTAATTTTTTAAAAGTAAAATTTTGTTTTTTAATATAAAACAGAGAAAAAACTAAGGGGACCCTTAATCAATAGGGTGAGGTACGAGGCCAGCTGGCTAAAGGGGTAGCCAACTCATTCAAAGAACGCCAGTTCTCTAACGCCACCTGTTCCCGAATTTTATATTTCTGACCTATCAGAGACACTATTTAACAGCCACGGCTGATCAATTTTTAGGAAATGAACGACTGTTGCCTTTCACGATTTGAGATGCGAGTTGCATAGAGCAAATAGCAATCAGCTATTAACAAATCCTGTGTAATTGTTCAGATCGCAATTTCTCCTCTGTTCTCAAATCTCGGTGGTTCAAAGTCCTAGCATGTGCAGGAAGAGGTAAAATAGGCAGGGAAAGGGCGCATTTTAATGAGTCCCCTGTCGTCGGAGGAGGAGCTTTGAAGTTGAAGATTGTAAACGTTGCTTCAGGTTGTCACTCTCTGTGTTGTGGTCCTAACACAAACAACTATCGATCCTTTCTCTCCCAATCTCGGTGGCTCTTCATTTCCCGAGCTTTGAAGATCCCTCTCTCTCACTTTCATCCACCTCTGCGTTTCCGATCTAGTAATCCTCCCCCCCCCCCGGTCCTCTCATTTTGTTCTTGTTCACGGCGAAGAAATAGTGAACCCATTTATGTGCGTTTCTCGTTTCTGGATTGTAATGCAGAAACCAGAGAGGAATACAATCTTCGTTAGTTTTGCAAGAAAATTAGCTGAGTGATCTAAAGTTGATGGCTGCTCCACCGGCAAGGGCTCGTGCGGATTACGATTACCTCATTAAGCTTCTTTTGATTGGCGACAGTGGTACGTGACTCTTCCTTCTCTCTCCGATTTTGTCTGAAAACATTGTGAGAGCGGTTGATTCATTATCTGAAAACATTAGAGTTGGAGTTTAGCCTGATGCATGCAATCTAAATTAAGATATTATTATCATGATCCATATTGAGTTTGGTTTGTTTTTTATAATCACAACGCAGAAATGGTGCTAGGAGATTGGAATAGCATGTTCATTCATAGTGCCGCAATGCTGTTCCACATACTAAAAAACACAAAAAATCTAACGCTTGATTAGTAATTTTGCAGAATGATTTTTTTGCCAAATCATGATACATGTCATTCTTCATTTCTTTTTCTCGCTCGTTGATTTTAGCCTAAATCTGGTGTATATTTTGCAGGTGTTGGAAAGAGTTGCCTCCTTCTGCGTTTTTCAGATGGTTCTTTCACTACTAGTTTTATCACCACAATAGGGTGAGTTTCCTGCCTTCCATTGACTATAAAAACAGAACTTTTGTCTTCCAAAAGTTTCTTCAACATGACAAGCTATATTCCTAATGCAGCATTGATTTCAAGATTCGAACCATAGAGCTTGATGGCAAACGGATCAAGCTCCAAATTTGGGATACTGCAGGTCAAGAGCGGTTTCGAACAATTACAACTGGTGAGGTTTATGGCGTAGAAACTATTTGTTGCCTGTTGTGTATCCTTATATGCTACTCAAGGAAATTGCCTGGTATGTGTCGTTAATGATCTTCCCGACATTGGATAATGAAGAGAAGAAACGGGGATAAATAAGATTATAGACAGGAAGAAAAAGATAGAGAATATAGGATAAAGAGATACCCTCCACATGAGGTTCCTGTAGACTATATTATTGATGGACCATGAGATACGCTTCAAGATACCTCACTCCTGGATGATGCGGATTTTCCTTGGTGTTCCGTTAGAGCTCTTACTTTTTCACTTCTGTTTTTGGCTGCTTATAGGTGGTTTTGTGTTATAATCAACATTATTTCCCCCTATTTTTCAGCTTACTATCGCGGGGCTATGGGCATATTGCTAGTCTACGATGTTACTGACGAATCATCATTTAGCAGTAAAGCTTCTCTGTCTTCAGTCTGATATTTGGATGTTGCAACTTTCTGTGTGAAGGCTTTTTCATCTGTAGTACCCACTCAGCATTTGCTTTTTACAGATATCAGGAATTGGATTCGCAACATTGAACAACATGCTTCAGATAACGTTAACAAAATATTGGTTGGGAACAAAGCTGACATGGACGAAAGCAAAAGGGTATACACACTCTCCTAGTATAATTATGAACTTCTTAGGCTTTCCCGACTTCCCCCACCTTTCTCATGCACGTTGTCTGCATTTTTTGTAATTTACATACCTTTTGGTTTTTTTCAGGTTGTGCCAATGTCCAAAGGCCAAGCACTGGCTGATGAGTATGGGATTCAGTTCTTTGAAACAGTAAGTGATGTATACTCCCTTCGGTCTTATAAGTTACTATCTTTTAAAATGAACTGATAACCTTTTCTATTAGTCACTTTACCTGGAAAGATGAATTATTAATTACTTTCTTCTAATTTTATCATTTCGCAATTTTTTATGAGAAAGGTAAAACTATTGCAATTGAGAGAGCGAGAATATTTTTAAAGATAATACATTTAATAGGGATCAATTGAAAATTTTATTTCTCTTTCAAACAATATTGATGATTTAATTACCGTTTTTTGATTTCAATGAGATGATTAGAAATGATTTGTATATATATAATTGAAGGAATTAGTTGACAATGTCCTAACTTCTAGAAGTTCTTTACTTATGTGCTGAAGGATATATATATATATATATATATGTATTTTTTTTTTTTTGTGGTCGTCATCATCTTGCAGAGCGCAAAGACAAACCTAAATGTGGAAGAAGTTTTCTTCTCCATAGCAAGAGAAATAAAGCAAAGGGTAGCTGATACCGACTCTAGATCAGAGGTATGTGTTCATCCTCTTTCTTTGAAGTTTCATTTAGTTATTCCTCCTGCTCTCTAAGTATGAATGTTTCGTTAAAATTTTGTTGCAGCCAACTACAATTAGGATCAATCAAGATCAGGCGGCAGGGTCTGGGCAAGCTGCACAAAAATCAGCTTGTTGTGGTTGAATGTTCCATGAGTTCTAAAATGGGGTCAACGCCTTGCCCATGAACCAGGAGGAATGATGGAAATACTACTTGCCTGATGACTTGTGGTTTATATTTTAACGTTGTTATTCTTTCCAGCATTTACTTGTGAAAGAAAAATCAGATGTTAATCCAAAGCTACACGCCATTTTTTATTTTACGTGAATGCATATCCATCCACCTTTATGTAAACATGGGCAAAGCAATTGGGTCCAGTCTTTTAATTACAAAGAGGCAAGCTGAAACAGCTTGAAAGTAAGGATTAAACCCACATCTCCCACAAATGGGGCTATTTGTGAATTTCAATGTATGTTTAGGGTGGCGTGCTTTTAGCGAAAGAGACAAGCATGTTACCGAGTTACCTTGCGTTTATCGTTGAAAAAAATGCTGGAAACCACAACTTTATGGTGACGATTTACAACTTTAATGTAATAAATTGCAATACTTAAAAATACTATTCGATTAATGTTTTAAAATAAAAGTTGCGAAATATAATTGATATATTAAAATTCTTTTCATTTTTTCTTTGACTGAAATGCATAAAACCTCCATGAATTTTAAGATAGTTATAAATTAACCCCTATAACCTTTCATTTTATTTTTCAAAAACCCCTACCATTAATTAATTGTTATTTTATTAATATAGTTATTACTTATTACCATGTCACATTAATACAATATATATGGCACATGACATAAAGAATATTTTATTATTTTTAACATAATTTAAGGAGGTGTAAAATTTTAATCTTTATTTTTAACATGCATGAAGATTCTCTCAATTTTTTTTAGTTAGTGATATTGTTCTCATTATTCAAAGGTAATACAATTTAAGAAAAAAATTATACTCCTTTCAGTCCTATTTATAGGGGTAGAGAAAAAAAATTTTTAATCCTATTTATAAGTCACCTCATTAAATTTTTATTATAAATTTTTTCATTTTACTACCATTAAATGTTAGAGAAAAAATATATTGTTAAAATATGTATATTTAATAATGGTAAATTGAGAAATTATTAAATTTTTAGACAAAGTTAATGAGTTTAAGATTTTTTTTATTATAGTAAAACATGTTAGAAATGTCTTATAAATAAGATTAGAGAAGTACTTATGTTATTTTTTAAAAAATTAAATAGCCTTTTATATTAAACAAATGAAAAGAAAAATATGTAAAAACCATCATTGATAAAAGTCATAAATTTCATTACCTATTTCATTTATTTTCTTTTAACTCTTATTTGTTTGTAGCTGTTATTTTCTCATTTGAATAAAGTTTCAGTACTTATTCAAACTAAAAATATATTTTGCTTCAGAATAAAATATTTTCTTGCTATTGGTGATTTGTATTGATTTTGTTAAAAACAATTTGCAAAATATCATAGTTTTCTTCTATTAAAGCATAAATTTTTATTTATATGCCTCTTATTAATGACAGCTTTTAGTTATTTTTTTCATTTGTTTAATATATAAGGCTAATAAAAAATAATAAAATCATAATTTTTCTCTTAAATTTTATTACTTGTAAACAATGAAAATAATATCACTGGACTAAAAAATGAGAGCATCGTCATGCGTGTTAAAAATAAAATTATAATTTTATCCCTTCTTAAATTGTGTTAAAAATAATAAAAATAGTTTTTCATGTCATGTGTCATATAAATTGCATTAATATGACATAACAATAATTAATTAATAAAATAATAGTCAATTAATTGTAGGGGATTTTGAAAAATGAAATGAAAGGTTAAGAAGATTAATTTTAAATATTAAATAATGAGGAAGGTCATGCAATTGCCTCAAGATTCAAGAGACATTTTATGCATTTTAACTTTATATATCCTTAACTTATTTTAATAATTAGTATTGCTTTGGACTTTCAAAACCAATGAAAGAAAAAAAAAGAATGGAAAATAATAAGTCATATTTCCTTAAAAATTTGGAATGACAAATAAATGTAAAGAAAAAAATTCATAAAATGAACGTCAAAATGAAACGGAGAAAGTAATTAAGCATGTTACTCCCGGCAAGGTGCTAGCATTTTCCATGACCAATTAATTTTTTTGGGCTCGAAACAGTTAATTAAAGTATCGAAAAACCACTCATTTGTGCCCGTTGTTTCGCACTCTACAAATAAAAAAGCAAAGGGCGGTTTCATGAATATTCCACGTTATCCTTGAAACTCAAGGCCACAAGATTTATAAATTTTAAAATTAAGATATATGAATTTATGTAGAGTTTTTTTTATTAGTATTTTTTGTTATTTAATTATTTTTCATAAAATACAAAATCTTCTCCTCTTTTAAAAGGTCCAACTTTCCTGATCTCAATTTCAAAATTTTAAATACAAAGATGTATGCCAGGATTTGAATCCATTATCCATCTATATATGCGGAAATCTATATAGATATTCGACCGATTAACGCGTCACATCACACGTAACCGTTGCTTTATTCTCACATGTAAATGAGCCACGCATGGCAGAGAAGGCCGAAGCTAAGGTCCGCCCCTACAGACGAGAATCATACCCCTCCCGACAAATTTTGCCGCGATGTACATCCCCACTTCCCTTCCCAGAGAGCCGAACTTCTGAGAGAACGCCTTGAAACCCTTCGACAACCAAAGCTCATCTACTCAACTTCGGAAGCAACCAAAGCCATCCCCATTCCCCCTCTCGCCAGCAAAAATAGTTGGGGGAATTTTACGTTTCATTTTCAGATATGCCTCCAACGAAGCAAAAATTTTCCATGACCCTTCTCCAAACCTATTTTTTTAATATATTTTCCTCTTATCACTTAATTATTGGATAAAAAAAAATTTTGCCATAAAATCTACTTATATTCTTCCTTTTATATATATATATATATATTGAAGGAAAGAGAATAAATCAAATTGAAGAAGAGGTAGGAAATATTTGAAATATATGATCACCTATCTCATTAATTTGTACAAAATATAGCTAAAGGCATCTCGCCATCAAAACTACACAATTCCAGGAGGCCAGAAATAAGATAATGTTAGAGATTCATGTCTTACTATCCATAACTGTAACTTCTAACCTCGATAACTTTGCCAGAGGCTAGTGGCTTACATATTTAGTACTTCCTTTCCGTAAATGCGCTGAAGCTCACGGGTTGCTGCTTGAAATGATTCTACAAGGAGTTGGCAGGAGTAAGAGAATTGAATCATTGACGTAGCGGGCAAAAAAACACTTTAATGCACATATTCATTGTGTGTAAAGAAGAAACAAGGAAAGAATGTACTACCTTTCCAACTTTGAAATGCTTTCTGATTAATTTGTGAACCAAAAACTGTTTGAATTGTATCAACCAACAAACTTTCAGGGGTACTCTTCAATTCCTGAACTATCTGATAAATGGTCTTCCCGTTCTCAAAGTAAATGTGCTTGTTTGGGTGTTTTGTTTTGCAACCAGCATGTGTCTCAAACTCATGAGCATTTAGAACCTGAAAATATGAAAAACCACCTATTGAGTCCTGTGAATTATCAATACTGCAATGATTAAACTTTTTCGTCAGGTTTTTAAATCAGTAGATGGCTAACCTTGGTATAATCACATGACTGACAACCACAAAGATAGCCAAAACCTTTAATAACTCCACGGAGTTCCTTCATATATGACAGAATGTAACCACAACTTATCATACAGGACTTCATAGTGAAACAAATAGACGAGAAAGATCTGAATTTACCTCCCGTGCCACTGAGATGTACTTTACAGGAACTCCATCTAGCATACCAGTAGAAATCAGGTTTCTAACGTTAGAAGGGAAACTATTTGAAGCTTCTTTCCTTGTTACTTTGTACTCTGGTCTATTTTTGGACAGAAACTCGGGCTTAAGTTTAGCCACCTGAGAATAATTTACAACTGCATTTGAATTTGAAACATCCATCTCTGTTTTGTCAGCTGCTATTGATACTTCAACTGAAGATTGATTATATAATGGATTATAGTCTCCAGCTGGCCTATTCACAGGGATGACATCCTCTTCATCTTGGAACCCACGAAAAGAAATTACATTTGAGTCATCTTTATTAGAGGAATCACTAATAGATATGGCATTCTCCTCTACTCTGCAAGGAGGGCAATCTAATGATCTAACACGTGCTTCCTCTCTATTGCAAGTGAGTCCCATTAATGTGACACTACCCTCCATATCAAAGGCTTGCCCCATTGACACAGATCTTGCCTCAGGTTCTCTGTTATAAGCCTGATGAAGATTGCCGACATTCTGTCCGCTATAATTAAGCCCCTCTGAAGCCTGTGCGTTATCACGATCTTTAACACCATCAACTTTCACTTTTTTAATTCCACTGAAACCTAGACATGTACCAGAATCTTGAACAGAGTGAGATATAGACAAGTCAAAGGAGGCATCTTCCCCATAAATCATTTTTGTTCGTGCATTGAAATCATCAGCCACAACAAAAGTTTTCTTTTCACTGAAATTGACAGACCTAGTTTCAGATCCAAAAGATCGGCCAATAAATTGGATTGGAACGGGATGAAAAGAAGAATTGCTCTCCCAAGATGTAAAGGCATTTGACAATCCTTTTCCATTAGTGTCTTCCGTAGATTGTTTCTTGCTTGGTAAAGAATCTATTTCAGCAGAATGAACAAACCAGTGACGAGATCGCTTTGGTTCAATTTTGGAAGGATGATCAAATGCTTCCTTTTCGTCACCCTTTACCATCCAAAATCCCTTGTTTTGGAGAGACTGCAGCAAATAAAACTCAAATTTGCTTCACGTTAGAAGGGGCGCAAGACTTACTGGCACATATAAGAAGTATAAAACCTAAATCTATGCTTCTAAACAAACAAAGGTTCAATTTAATGTGCCTGATGGAACTTCACCACTGCACAAGCCATAGCATTTCTAAATCTATGCTTCTAAACAAACAAAGGTTCAATTTAATGTGCCTGATTTTCAATTTCGAACTATTAGTGTTATATTAGAGTTGTGTTAATGCTCCTGTAAATATATATGCTGTATATTATCTAGTATTTAAGTGCACTTCACAGCACTCCAGAAACTGCCTTCCAGGAAAAATAAAAATAAAAAGCATTAGAAGCTAATTGCCTCACAGCCCCGTGTCAGAGACGGTGTTAATATCAGATTATGTTCTGTATCGATTTTTAGATTTCATAGCCCATCCCATACTCCCTCGAAAGAAGAATAATGATCTTTGATTCAAAAGTCTCAAAGAAACATACAGCAGAAACACTACGTAACGTTTGTAAATTACAATCCAATGTGCAGTTATGTGCAAGCTCCTTATAGGAGAAGACTGTCATGAAATACAGAGGGGAAAAAAAACGTAGAGGAAAACAAAAATAGGAACAGAAGCAGAACTGGGTAAATTACCATTTAGTTATATTTTAGCAGGCGAAAAAGTATTCCGCGTCCAGTGTGACCTTCTGGTCGACTCTCGGCGATACTTCTCTCAGTTCCCAAAGTAGTGTACACGGACTCTGAAAATCTCCAAATAACCATATTGTTCAAAGTCAATGACGAAAAAAAGAATAGCAAGCAAGAGGACGAAATTGATCAAATTATAAAAACTAGGACTAAATAATTCTTCCATTTGAACGGAATACTACGGCATCAACTAGCTTAGAAATCTAAATTTACCAAACAAAACTTCTCAAATGGGTGTAAAATCGTCGAAAACAAATATATTCAATCTCAGTAATTGCGAGCAATCAACTACGACCAGCACTGGAAGCTCAAAATGAAAATTCCAAGATCGCTTCCCTCGGCGGCGCCCGAAATATGATCGGGGGTTTTCTGACGCCAGTTAACGATGAAGTTCCCGCGAATCAGCAGCAGCGATGAACGGAGACAGCTTCCACAAATAAATGGACGGCAGAATTTTGATGCGGCAACAGGAGGGAGGAGCACTTGATCTTTCCTCGGCTATGGGATGCAGAGATCGAATGAGCCTGAATTAAGTGCGAGTCACGGCTCCGCTTGCTGAGGACGTACACGTGGGTGTTAGTAGATAAATCTGGACCCTTGACATATATATGGCTATGGGGCCTTTGGGTTAACTTTGTTATATTGCTCGCGACGGTCTATCAAACACCCGATGCATGGAGAGACAGCGCGCTTATGTGGATTGCACCGATTAGAAGTCGAAAAAAACTGTTTTTTTTTTTTACATGAATTTTCTTTCCATAATTAAAAAAATCAAATTCCCTGGACAAAAAAAATTAAAATATTTTTAAAAAAACTGTTTTATATTTTTAAAAATACAAAATATTTAAAAAGCATTTTTTATTTATTTATTTTTAAAACTGTTTTAATTTTGTTTTATAAAAAATATTCAAAAGTTATTTTCATTTCTTTTTATTTTTAAAATACATTATATTTAATTATAAAAAATATATTTAAATTGACTAATCATTATACACTATTGTCATTATTCTCTTGCAGCTACTACTATCAGCTTATTTTTTAATACTTAAATTATTTTTAAATTAATATAATCAAATAAATTTTTTTTATTTTCTAAAAACAATTCCAGAAATTATATTAGCATCCGATGCAACTATTTTTGAATTTCATTATAAATCAAACCTGTCTTGAAAATTTAATTTTTTTAAAAAATTAAATCAAAATTAAATTTTAAATTATATTTTATATTTAAACTTTTTAAAATTAAAAATGTATTTTTAAAAATTAATATTGTTAAATTTTATGATATTATGTTAACATATTTTTTTATTCAAGGTGTTAAGGAATTAGGTATCAAATTTTTATTTTGATTTGGAGAGATAATGGTAGACTTTTCTATATATACAATGATTGAATTTACCTCCAACTAATTGCTCTGATGAAAGTTTTTATCATTTATACATATAAGGGTATATTATAAAATAAGTCGTGTCAAGATAAAATGTATTATTGGTATTTTAAATATGTAATAAATAACAAGATTTTAAAGTAAAACAAATGTTTATATAATGGAAAAGAAAGGAACTCTAAAACTATGCACACAAATATATATATATATATATATATATTAAATTTTAATCTGTATGGGTCTAATACATATAGACTAAAATAAATTATTATATACATTTGAGTATAACTGAGTGACAAACTCTAACTTAAAAAATTGTTTATAATTTTTCAAATAATTTTTTTATTCATGTCTTTTAATAACTAAAAATAAAAACTTTTAATGTCGTAATATGAATACAAATAGTTAATTGCAGTCACTGAAAAAATACAAAATATATAATTATTTTTAATTTAAATTTTTTTAAAAATAAAATATAGCATCCTCTCTTCTGGTCTCTTGTGGGTGTTAAAATCTAGTTATATATATATAGATATATATCCCAAGTTTTTAGGACTTATTTGTTTCTATTTTTTTAATTTAAAAAATTTTAAAACTATATTGAAGATGTGTTTTTATTCAGTTGTTTTAAAAATTATTCTCATTTTTTTAAATAAAAACAAATTAAAATTATTTTTATTTTTATTTACCTTATTTAAAAAGGGTTAATGAGCAAAATCGACCCTAAATTCTTAAAATGTGTAAAATAAATTTAAATTTTTAAATTTGTAATATATCACACCCTACCGTTATCTTTTTTTAATGTCATTATTGTTCACCGTGGCCTCAAGTTAAATGCTAATGTGTCATTGTTAATTAACATAATAGATCTTAAACTATTACACGAATGGCATTTTAAACCCTAAACTTTAAAATTTTGAACAAATTATCCCATCATTTATATATAGAACATTAACTGTTACCTAGACTAAATTAGCTTCAATGTTGTTCGCTGAGGTGATTGCATTGTTGGCCATAGCGATCGACTCATAATTTATGAAAATATATTTTTTACACTTTTTTATGTAATATTCTAAACGATTGGTATCTCATACTTTCTTAAACTCTATAACTTTTATTTAGTTTTATTTTAAATAATTTTTATTTATTTAATGGTAAAAACTTGGGATCCCATTAAAAAAGGTTTAAATATGAAAAAATTTTAATTAACTGATTAATTTAAATTTTAAATTCGTTGATGAGATCGTTGGTTTTTGCATTTATCGTGTATAAAATTATATGATATTTAAACTTCTTTTTCAATGAAGTCTCAAACTTTCACTATTAAATACATAATAAATATATTCAAAATAAAACCAAATCAAAGTTATGGAGTATAAAAAATATGAGATATCAATTGTCTTGAAAACACTATAAAAAATGGCAAAAAATATCATTTTACAAAATTATTGGTCAATTGCCATGACCAATAATGTATTCACTGTAGTGAATCACACTAAAGCTAATTTAATCTACATAATAGTTAATATTTTACACATAAATGGTGGGCTGATTTGCTTAAAATTTTAAAACTTAGTATCCAGGATGCTACTTGCTTAATAGTTTAGGGTTTATGACGCTAATTATAATGACACGTTAGTATTTAATTAAGGCCCACAATAAACAGTAATGACATTAAAAAAAAAGATAAAAGTAAAGTTTAATTTGCTATAAATTTAAAAATTTAAAATTTATTTTACACATTTTAAGAGATCATAGTCTATTTTACTCATTAATCATTTTAAAAATGCACTGTATTTGATTATTATAAATTATAATTAACTTTTCCAATAATATTACAAGCCACTGTTAATAGCCGCTAGTAATAGTCATTATCACTTTTTTAATTGTAAAATATTTTGTAAATTGACAAAATGAAATATATTTTTATTTCACTTTAATTTAAAAAATAATTCTTTAAAATTGATTTATAAGATAATTTTTAGAAACAAAGCTAAGCAAGTTATTAATGTTCAACTTTTCATGCAAAATCTTATTTAAGGGTGTTTATAAGTTTGATTTAATTTGATTTTTTAAACAAAATCAAATCAACGCAAACTAATTAATTTGTTATAGTTTGGAACCTATTTAATTTTTTAATCTAATCAATTTGGTTCCGTTTTTTAGTAATTTGATTTAGTTTGACTATAGTTTAAATCAAGTTTGAACTTTATTTTTAAAGAATAATTTTTAACTGTTAACTATCAGCTACAATGAGAAAATCTCTTGATCACAAAAGGATATTTCTTAATAGTTAATTGAAATATTTAACTAGTAAAAATTAATATATTTCTCTTAAAACACTTGATTATAAAATATAAAAATTATCACAAACAATTGTAGTAACATTTAGCTAGATGTAACATATTTTTATTAATGATTTGTAAATAATTAAACTTGAAAAAGGGGGGAAAAAAATAAGGCAAATTTATTTAAACATATATAATAAATATAATAAAGCCTAGCTCGGTTTGATTCAATTTTACAAAAGTAAAAACCTGAACGAGCCAAATCAATTGGTTTTATAAAAAAAAAATAAACCAAACTTCATTTACAATCAATTTTGTTAGCTTAGTTTGGTTTAATTTAGCATAATAGGTTTAGATTGATTTTGAACATCCTTAATCTTATTTATTAATCAATTTCAATGTGTTTTTATCAAAATAAAAAAAATTTAAAATTTTATTAATTCTATCTATAAATTCAATAAGTTCTCAATTTTTTTATATTAAAGACCAAGAATAATGCATTCTCCACCAACATTTAATGGATGATAAATTAATGATGGGAAATAAAAAAATTTGTAAAAAACTTTTAATGATGTCACTTATAAATAAGATACAATTATTCTCTTTATATTTTATAAATAAAACCAAAAAGAATATATATATACTTGGATGGGTTTAGGAGCGCTTGCCCCTGTTGTAGTTTAAAAAACATTTTTTTTTTTATAAAAGATGCTAAAAACTAATTTTTGCCTCTTCTTCTTCTTGTTTTTGTTTTTTGTTTTTTGATAAAAAGGGAAACAAAACGCAAAACAAATACACAAAACCAAAGCAAAACTAAGGAGGTCTCAGTAACACTGGATAAGCACTGGCATCAGGTGCCATGGGATAAAAGCCATGCCTCTTCACTCTTGTGTAATTTTGCATTTTAACCTTTTCTACACCTAATAGTGGAGTCAAGATCCTAAATCAGGGATGCAGGATAATACAGTTTAAAAATAAATAATTAAAAATAATATTTTAATTTTTTAAAAATTAATTACATTAGGCAAAAAATATATTAACATAAGTTAAATTATATATATTTTTATTTGGAAAAAATATATTAAGATTTTTTACCAAAAATATGCTGAGAAAGTTGATATGAAGTTTAAAATTTAGACCCCCAAATATTTTTATTGATTCTATAAAATTCAAAAAGCTAAAAATATAAGGTGCAAGATTATAAATTTCTTATAACTACATGTACAATTTTCCCCATGTAAGGGGGTGCATTTGCTCCTCTTTACATGCACGTGTTTCTGCCACTGTGACTACACCCATCTCGATACATGATTTGAATATAATTTAGATTTTAATTCAACTTTTTTTTTTTTTAAAATTGTTTTTTAAAATAAAAAAACAAAAAAATTATTTTTTGAAAAACAAAAAAATAAAATATTGTCATAGAGAATGGAGAGACGGAAGCATTTTTTGGTGATCTAAAATTATTATTCTAAAGAAGTAAGGCTTAATGAAAAAAACACATATCATCATTATTCTCAATCATTATTCTAAAGAACAAGGCTTAATGAAAAAAACACATATCATCGTCATCGTCATCATCATCGTCATCATCATCATTCTCAAAACATGTTTTACAACATTTCAAATCTCAAAATAATAAAATAAAAATATTTCAAATAGGTTCAAAGTTTCTTACATGAGAAACAATCATAACAATATAAGTGACAAGTTCTCTTTGCTTACATTGATTTAATATGAAGAGATAATGTTTCAAATAAAATTACCTTCTATATGAAAATATTTGTGAGTAATTGAAAAAATTCTAGACTGTGTACTACATTTGAATTATAATATAAGATATTTTTTTAAAAATTCTATTTAATTTAAAATGCAGGCATCAAGTAATTTTTATAATTATTTTTAATTACACCCCTACTTTATTTATTACTCTTTTTTTAAATAATATATTAAAATTTCAGTTATCATTATTTATATATATATATATATATATAAAAGATATCGAACAAGGAATAATTGAAAAAGATGTAATTTTTTTAAAGTTTAAAATTTCACCTAACTTTTTTATATCTGTAAAGTACTATCTCGTTTTCAAATTACAAGATTTCTTTAGACTGTAAACATATCCGGGAGGCAAGGGGCGCCCCCACCCATTTGATTGGTCCTTAGAAAATTTTTAGAATTTTTTTTTATTTTACCTGTAAAAATCAATGTTAGGCGCCCACATTTTAGTAGTTTTTTAGCTTTTTTATGTTCATTCTTGCTTTGGAGGTATTTTATTATCTCAAGATATAAAATAATTTAATAAAAATAAGATTTCATTGAAATGATAACAGTACAAAGGAATCCAAACAAAATCAAATAAACATAAACTGATCAAAATTGATTATAAATGATGTTTGGTTTATTTTATTTTTTTTAGTAAAATTAATTGGTTCGGTTTGGTTCAAATTCTTGCTTATGGAAACTTCAACCAAACCAACCAAAATTTATTATACTTATTTATATATATATATATATTTTATAAAATTTATCAAGCTTTTTTTCCCTTTTCTAAGTTATTTATTTGCAAATCATTACTAAGAGTAAGTTATAATTAGCTAAATAGTATTTATAATTAATTAAGTGAATTTTTTATTTTATAATCTAGTGTTTTAAAGATAACACATTAATTTTTAATAGTTAAATATGTTAATTATTTGTTTAAAAAAATATTCTTTTATGCTCAATAGATTTTTTTCATTGCAAATAATAATTAATAGTTAAAAATTATTAGTGAACATGAATATATATTGATGATTATGAAAATTATCTCATTAAAAAAAGTTCAAACTTAATCTAAATTGAAATCAAATTGAATCAAACTGCTCAAAAAATTAAACCAAACTAATTAAAAGAAAATTGAATAGATTTTAGATTATAGTGAACTGATTGATTTGATTAAGTCTCACTTTTTTTCCTTTCAAAACCAAACTAAATCCTGCAAACACCTTTTTTTTTTTCTTCTCAAAACCAACCTAAATCCTGCAAACACCTTTTAAATATTGGCAAATGCCTGGAAGGTGCTCGTCTGATGCATTTGGAATCAATGCTTATAAAAACAACCTGGTGGACTTAAGTGGCACAAAACAGAACACAAATTTTATACTTAATATTAATATTAATATTAATTTGGAATCAATGTTTTTAAGCGGCGCGAAACACAGCAGAAATTTTATATTTAATATTAATATTAATAACATTTTCTTTACCCTAGTTTATAAAATATTTTTACTGGAGATTTAACTTCTTAAAATATAACATACATTAATAAAAAAAACCTTTTATTGGACAATTTTTTTCAATAGCACCCTTTTTATATATTTCTATCTTTAGAATTTTTATGGAGTATTAAATAAATAATATTTTTTAAAAATTTATACTTTATTTTGAAAAAATAGGACTTTAAAACATGCTCCATCTAATCTTTATTATAAAAACTTTAATCGTTTTACGTATTTTAAAAAAATTTAATTTTTTCTTGATGTCATAACAAATTGAGATATAATTTCATTTTTACCTTTAGTTTTAAATAATAATATAATTACATTAAATGTCTTCTCATTAATTAAAAAATAAAATTGAAAAAATTATCTAATTATTGCAATGTGTCTTATATTTTAAATAAAAAATTAATTTCAAAATGTGTTTCATAAATAAGATCGGAGGGAGTATTTGATAAGTTTTATTAACTTAAATGACCTTATTTAAAAACATTTTATAAATTGTGATCACGTAGTATAAGTATCTATCTATATCTATATAAATTTGGGATGTCTGGTGAATAATGAATGAACAGTAATTAAACAATAATTTATCAAAAATGCCCCTAGTTTTTGCCCTTTTTTTATCTTATACAATTGTAACACTGTCAGATTGTACTGTAAATCTACAATACCATCCAACCTTTTCTTGTTTAGAAAAAAAAATTTGTTACCATCGGACAGTACTATAGACCTACAGTATCATATTTTTTAAAAAAAATTGTTATGAATCTATCATTTTCTTTCTTTGTTTTTTTCTTTTTCAGATGGGTATCAAACTTGAAAATGAGAAAAATATTTTGTCTATTTTTCTCTTAATTAATGATACCTTTCTTGTATTTTTTGAAACCTGTGTGAATATTTTTTAATATAGATAGTTATAAAATACAAGCCTTTTTTTATTTTAAGATTTTATTTTGATTCATTTATTCATTAGTTGACCATTAAGCCACGAATATTGGGCTAAAATATCTCTATTTAAATATAAATATTGTCCAAAAATTATTTAAATTACCAAAAAATTATCTTTTTTATTATTTAAATGCATTTATTTTGTAACTTTTTTAAAAATTAAATATATAAATTGGTCAAAAATGATATTCAAAGACACAATGTATGGGTTCAATAAAGAGAAAGATAAAATAAAATAAAATAAAATAAAATAATTTTTAATAATTGGAGATAGTTAAATCAGTCTAAATAAACCTGAGAGCTAAAGGTGTTAAAAGTCCGGCTTGACTATAATTTTTTGTATGTTTAAATATTTTAAACTCGATATAAATTGAGTCTTTAAGGTTAGTGAAAGAAGTGTAATATTTTAATAAAATTAATTTTTTAAAAATTAAAGTAGTGTGGTTTAAAAAGTTGTGTAGGACCTACCATTAAAAAATATGAGTGGGATCTATGTTTATAAATTTTAAAAATTTAAATAAGGTGTAAAAAATAATAAAATTTTTATATTTTGAGAGATCGCATATGATTTTATATTAAAAATTGATGGTGAATATAAGATTTTTAGTAAAGTAATATGTGTTACATATACAAAGAATTTTTTATGTACTCCCTCAATTAAAATACATAAGGTATTTTTAGTCTTTTATAGTATAATTATTTTTTTTTTTTCAAAAGCACTTTGATTGAATAAATCACTTTACATTTATTTTAGGGTGAAACACCCTATTTAAATATAAAAAATAAAATTAATTTAAAGACAAGTAATCATTTTTTTGGGGTGAAATTTAGTCAAGAATATCTTACATTTTTAAAAGAATGAAGTATTTATTATAACACATGATAACAAAGCACGATAGTTTGTATGAGCAAATATAAAACAAGATTTTGTTTATATTCTTCAAATACACAAGGAATAAAAATCTATTATGATATTATTTATATGTAAAAGTTAATTATGATTTAAACACCTATAAAAAGTATTGATGTAATCATGTGTTTTAAGTATGAGCAACAAAAATTATGGGCTACAAATTAATTATATAATATTAATAAATTTATCTTTAATTGCACACCTAATCTTTAATTATTGTATTACTTGCATATACTTATTTATAATATTATTTTAGTAAATGTACTCCATTCGTTAAAAATATAAGACATTTTTTAGGAGTTATTTTTTAAGAGTGGGATGTTAAAAAAATATAAAATATTTTTAGTATTTAAAGGTATAATTATCTACTTTTTTCCCTTAAAAAATGCCCACAATGAATAAATTATTTTATATTTATTTTAATGTAAAACACCCAATTAAATAGTAAATATAGAAAGATGATGTTATTTTAAAAATAAGTAACTGCTTTATTGGGTGAAATTCAATTAAAAATATTTTATATTTTTCAAAAGATGGAGTATGTATTTAATTATTTATAAAATACTAAATAAATTAGTTTTTATGACTAATAAATTAAAATATAAATATAAGTTTAAAATAATATATTAAGAATATTAATTGTCAGCTAATAATTAGATGGGTGAAAATGAAAACTTAAAAGTAAAAGGTAAATTTGTATTTTATAAATCTTAAATATTGATTTTAAAATGAATTTCTATAAATTTTAAAATTAAAAATATTTATAATAAAAATAAAATAATAGAAAAATAATAAATGATCGCACTTCAAAAGATTAAAAATATTTTATATTTTTTAATATTTAACTTCTTAAAAAATACCTTACATTTTTTAATGGAGGAGAGTATATTTTTATTTTAAGAGTATTAAAATAATTTTTTAATATTTATATTTATTTTTATTCTCAAAATCTAGTTAATGTTAAATGTTAACGTTAATGCAACTACAAATGGTCCCAGCCGTTGATGTTAGTGTTAATCATGGTTCACGTTCCGCTTCGAACACCGAATCATTTACTATAAAAATACTAATAATCATCAATCAATCAATTAACAGTACTCTGCTGTCGGGGAAAAAAAAAACACTGCTCTGACTTAGTGCCGGGAATACATTTTTTATTCGATTGACACGTTAATGTGGATAATGGGCCATGCATTCCAGTGGGCCATGGACTATAAGCAATTAAATTAAATTATTAATTATTAAATTAAATATATTAAAATACTGACACTGATTAGTAGGGTGGGATGGGAGGTGGAGCGAAATCCCACTCGCCACAGCATCCCCCACCCATGAGCGGCCGATCGTTGTCGTTAGCGGCGATTCCACTTCAGGTTCGAAGGCATGAACCTGACGATGAAGAAGAAGGAGAGCTCAGTGAAATTCAGACCCCACGGAACTTGCAGAAGAGCGGTGCCCCCTTCAGGCTTCCCGATGATTGGATCGTTGAGGAAAGGCCCCGTTCCTCCTGCACCAGCACTCGCCGCCATGTCGACAGGGTGAACGGACCCCTTCTCTATCTTCATTTCATATTTTCATTTATCTTTCGCTTTTCACTTCAAATGTACCTTCAATTATGTGTAAATAGCTTTGCCTCCATGCATGCGTGCATAAACTCATGGACTATCGTCCTCCACGGTCTCTCTTTCCGCGGGTGCATTGAAAGGTTCAAGTTGTGAAACGTGTTGATTCTCTTTCCCGTGGGTTTCATTCCTTGTTGAAACCTACGAATCGGAAGAACAAGTCCCGTACAGAGTTCAGAGTAATGATATTTTATGCATACATGTTTATACGATATTAGCAAATATCAGAAACTATACTCGGTATCAGTGCGGTGATTGCTGGGACTCCGCTTTGGACGCTCTTTAACCAGGGTCATAATATATTGAAATTCTTTCATTTTTGCATTCAATTGATGATCTTGTCCTATCGCGCAGTATTACTATGAGCCTGGCACTGGGAGGAAGTTTCGTTCGCTGGTATCTGTACAGAAACATCTAATGGAAGGGACAAGAGAAACTAAGAGAGTGAAATCTGAAAATAAAAATACAGTGAGTAGCTGACTTTTCCTGGTTAGTTTACTGACAGAAAATGCAGAAAGGAAGCTCTAAGTAATTTCATGTTGTATTAATTAAAAGCGTTCTCTTATCAATGACATATAGAATCTAGCTAAATTTTATACAAGTAGGGAACAACAATGAACAGTCGGAGTCTTACCAAAATTAAGAATTTCTCCACTCACATAGCTAATATTGCTGCAGATGCAGGCTGAAACTCAAACCAGGGGAAGTGCCCCGTCCTTTGGATTACCAGATAGTTGGATAGTTGAGGAGAAGCGACGTAAATATGTTGGAGTCAAAGATAGGGTATACTTCTGTTTTGCCTAATCCTTTTTAATATGGGGTATTTTGTACTTTATAGCTGTTCTTTAAGCCTTCCCACTTTTATGAACTGGGCTTTATGGTCATATCTGTTCAGCTATTGCCGACGTAATTTGTTACAGAAATCACATTAGTTCTTGGTTAGATGGGGAACTGCAAGACTATTTTTGGTTTGGCATTTGGAACATGAAAAAACTGGCTCTTTAGAAGACGGATAGAATAATGTACTGACGTTTTGCATTTTGTGTCCTTTAATCTAACTGTGTTTTGTTGTAATCAACTCATTGTATTAGTTATGATCATGGAATATCTTCGCTCTTGTTTATATTCTATCTGACAAAGATCTTCACAGAACCTAAGTTGCTTCTATAAGGCTGCCTTGAGAGATCCAATCTCCTGAAAATTGCAACGTTGCAAAGCTTGGAAGCAAGAACACACACACACACACACACAGACGTGTAAACAGAGGTTTTCAGAAACTTGTTCTTCGGAGTTATTTCATGAACTTGAATGGTGCTTTGTTTCATGCAGACTTATATTGAGCCTGAGACAGGGAAGAGGTTCCGTTCGTTGTTAGCTGCTCAGAGATATCTAGGTGAAGACAATGGATACACAGCCACGGCCAAGGTGTCACGTGCGGAAATTTCTGTCAGCTGGAAAAGTAATGATGAGGTGGCACCAATACACTTCTGCATGTTTTCTCACAGAGTAACTTATACTTCCTTTTCAGCCATTGTTGGAGTCTGGAACTGAAAAGCGAAGTGCTGCTGGTGAGAACTGCTGTGCAGAAGATGAAATTTATCTGAAATCATTGAAACTTGAAGTTAAATCTAAGGTGAGTTTTAAAACTACAGATTTTTGTGATATAAAGAACCTAATTGCAATTTCAGCATGACCGATTGAATGTCTTTTAAAGAATTATAAGAAGTCTGTTTCATTTTTTTGGGGCAAAATAAGAAGTCTGGTTCACCGAAGAAAATTGGTTTGGATAAGGACAAGAAGGCTTCCATGTTTGACTTATCCTGTCCACCAGCAAAAGTGAAGTGGGTTCTTTCTGGTAATGGGGCATTCTGGACTCCTTTCCTGGATGGTTCAAAAGTTCCAGACTCTGTAAAGCAGAAATGGTCCGATGTATTCGTGTCATACATCCAAGATGGAGGTACTAGTGAACCGAGATGTTGAGGTAATGCTGCTGAAAAATCTGAAATCATTTGACCCTTCAGTGTCATTTAAATCCTCACTTTCTAATGCACTTGAAGCTCCTCGTTAAATCGAGTTCGACATGCAGGATTCACTAACTGCGGCAGCGGAAAGGGGAAAATGGGGACATCAAGGCTTACATAGTTTGACATAAGGGAAAATAGCAATGAAGGGCCGTTGGAGAAAATTTATAACAATTAAAGATCAATTGTTATTGAAACCTAAATAGGAAACAAACCTAAATGGATTGTGTATTATTGTTAATTTTAAATGAGTTGTTAAAATCTGAACGAATACTTATTGATAAAAGATTAATTCAACTTAACAAGTATTCATTTATATTTTAATAAATGATCATTGACTGATATAAATTTCTTCTAGCAGTCTTTGATTAATATTTTTCCTTGACATGATATGGCTTAAGTTGCTATGCCTTGTGGCATATTGTACATGTGTCGTATCCTGACTGCTGCTTGGATTCATGAATGGTGAGCTTAATCACTGACTAAAACGTTGTAATTTTTATCCCATTGTAGTTAAATGAAATTCATAGCAACTATTCAAAGGTCATAAATTGAATGCTTTTTTCTCAGACCACATGTACAGAAAAATGTGTCCTTTTATTGTCTTTAAAAAAATTGAAATTTTTTACAAATTGAAAGTACGACTTCTTTGTGATGCAATGAAGGGTCAAAACAAACATGATGTTTAGCGTAGTGAAAACTTTCAAACCATATAACTAAAAAAAAAAATTCAAACAAATGCATAAAAGATTTAAAACGAGACGTCAGGTTATAACTGCGATGCTTGAAACAAATGCTCAACAACGCAATCTTTGATTTAGGATTTCACTTACCAAGGAAGCAAAATTGAAGTTAATTGTGTTTAAAGCTTCATCTCAAGCAGGGTTTTTTTTTTTTCCTGTGTATCCATAATGGAGATATGCAATTTTGGGAGTTTTTAACTCTTTGAAGTACTACCCCCCCCCAAAAAAAAAAAAACTCTTTGAAGGTTTAAAGTCTTGACTACATTATACAGCTGCAAAATAGGAGGAAATCTCAATCCGAGGGAGAAACCCATCAGAATATAGAAGGTGAAGACGGAGGTGATGGAACCAACCTTACAAATAAAAAATGTTTTTATAGTTGAGTAAGAGGTTGTTTGAATAACTAATTTTTTAATTTCAAAAGTATTTTCACACTTTCAGAATGTAAAAAGGTGTTTGAAAATATTTTAATAGGGAAATAGATTTCTGAATGTACTTCTTATAAGTCTTTGAAAATATATTTTAAAGCACTCCACTTGGGAGCTTTCAAAATATAAATGGGATATTGAAAGCATTAATGATTTGTACCTAATATTTCATTTGATCATGTTACCCTTCATTTTTTTGTCTTCCCTCTTTTCATGCAAGCCAAGCTTCTCTTCCACTCTTCAACTACATCTCTACTCTTCTCTCACATCTTTGTCTCTTTTTCGAGTTTGTTTAAGTGACCAACTTTTTACATTCTAAAAGTACTTTCTTATTTTTGATGTGAAAAATTGTTTGAATATTTTTTAATAATGAAAATAGGCATTTTGAATGAACTTTTTAAAAGCCTTTAAAAGTAAATTTTAAAACGTATCATTTGAGCTTTCAAAACATAAATGGAATGTTGGAAGCATTAATAGTTTATACCTAATTTTACATTTGACCATGCTATATAAGTAAATAATTATAACACTAGAATCACAACTTTTAAATCTCAAGCAATCATCGTTCAAATTCCATACTTTCAAAAGGTCTTTTTAGTCTTTTTAACAACAGTTTTGGCAAACTTGCAACACTCACTCAGGAGGCACTATTACCTGTTCTATTTACGTCCTAAGAAGTTGGAAGGAAAAATGAACAAGTTTATAATAAACTCAGATGCTCAGATACATCATTGAGCTAGGAACCGCGAGGATGGAGAAAACTCATGGAGAGGACCTTGCAGTCAAGTACATAGACAACTTATCTCTTAGTGATACTCCATTTATGTCAACAGCTTCACAAATTTGCTGACGGTAACCTGAGTCATGGTTGTGAGACAAAGGCAGTTCATCCTGCAATTCATCTTCCATGTCAATAACAATGTTGTGAAGCAAGCAGCAAACCAAAATAATTCGTGGCAGCCTATGTTTGTCAGGCCTCCACATCGCACCTTGAATGATTTTCCACATATTCTTCAGCCTTGCTAATGCGCTCTGTGCCACCATCCGGGTGGCAAAAAGGCGCCGGTTAAACTCTGCTTTTGGCTCGGGGAGTTGTTTCCCTTCGTAGGGGACAACAAGGTAAGGCAGTAGAGGATAGCCTGAATCCCCAATTATGTATTCCCCTATTTCTGATCCTTCATGGAGGTTCAATTTCTTCCCATTCAACCTCTCTCCTTTAACACAAAGTTTGTAGAAATCTGAGCTCTCAAAGACCGACCAGTCCTTCATTTTACCTGGCCAGCCAGTGACTATGTCCCTGAACCTCATGTCAGGATCCACTATTGCCTGCAATACCATGCTATGTTTCTTTTCGTGATCAAGCCACACATTACTAAAAGGTTCTGAAAGAGGTAGACACATTGTGATGTGAGTAGCATCGACTATGCCGCAGCAATTAGGGAGGCCTTGCACTTTCTCGAATTTGGATTTTATTGCCATAATTTCTGCTTCAGTAGAAGGCCATTGCAGGTGCTGAAGTGCCTTTTCTTCCATGGACTCTACAAATCGCCAAGTAACCTGCGACACTGTTGAGTGGTTCAGCCCTAATGAATCACCAATTGTGACTAAAGACTCACCAGATCCCAGTCTTCTCAATGCCACAGCTACTTTATCATATAAAGACATCTGTTTGCCATTTGCAAACACTAAATGTGCAGATCTTGCCACCATATCATCCTTCACAAGTGAACATATGTACCCAAAGGTTTTTCTGGAGATCTTAAAAACAGCTTCGAAGTCATCCAGACCCTTTGATGGAGAATGTTGAAGACCTGCCAGGCAAAACAAATTCATGATTGAGATGATCTTTCAAATATTTTGGATAATGCAGATTCAACTTTCAGATGTTATCAGAATGATCCTCAGCAGGATTGATACACCAGAGCAAACGTTCTTCTTATAGACACAAATTCTTATTAGGGATTGGTTCATGTTAAAAAAAAGTTGGAATTCTCAAATACAAAATGCCAGAATTTAAATCACAAGAGCAAGACTAAATATGATTCATGGCAACGGATTCATACATGAATGTGCAGAAAATATAGGTAAGAAAGAACAATAATAGCAGCCGGAGTATAATTATTGATCATTAAGACAATCATTAAGACAATATTGAACCTGGGCTCCTATTAAGCTTTAGAATGATATTGGAATTATGAAAATGGTTAGGAGATGAAGAAAACTTGGTTGGTCATGGAGACATGGACTTTATAAGATGTATTATTACCATGTCTTGTCAGTAGCAAAATATGTTTATAGAGCACAGAATTTCCAGATCTAAGCCAGTAACTAATATAGAAGGTTTCCAGTGATCCACCCATCTCTGCTTTGCATCTTAAAACACCCTAAACTTCAGTGGCATGCTGGTTTTAACTTCCTCAAGCAGCAGAGACTTGAATGAATATTAGCTTATTCTAATATATTTATTTTCTGTCGCCTTGTATACAAGAAAACATTTGTTGTAAAACCTTATATGCTGATCATGCAGAATGCCAGGATCAACCAATCCAAAATATACATAAGATGAACAGATACCATTCATCTAAGAGTTGTTTTGCGCAAGAAACATGCAAGAACCATTTATGTGAGATTAATCATCATCTACAAATAATGCCCGAGGATTTTTACTCTTCTCCTACATCATGCTGCTTACTCTGTATCTAAACAAGAAATTTGATTGTGTGAACAGAAAGACAGCACATGCAATTGCACCAGAATATCTTTCACATACTGGTGCATACAAAAATGAAACGAGAACTGAAAGTTCAGGCTTACTATCATTAACATTAGATATCAGCGTTTTATTTGACAATTTTACACTAGCTAGTGCACCTTAAGGCTTACCAATCAAATAGGCTCTAAAACTGGAAACAGAAAGAAGAAACCCCATTGTTATGTTGTGCAAAAACTGATGCTGTATAGTATCTGTAAATGTTTCCCTCTGAGGAAAAGGATGTGGTATGTTTAAATAAGTCATCTTCATCCTCAGTTTTCAACAATTCATCGTTCTTCCCTCTTGGATTTAGAATGAAACTTTCCGGAAATGGTAATATGCAGGAACAGTATAATGACTAGACCTCCTCACTTTAATCTATATGGTGAAACTTAAGACGGGATCATATCCAAAATCTATAACCAGGATGTTTTCTCCTATAGTTTTATCAAGATAAAGAAAGCAATGAAGCAAAAAATGGGCGAATTGCATGACATTAATCCTATGAACCAAGAGTTAAAATACATTCCCTAGAGATGAATTCAAGGCAAAGGAATATTTAATCTGCTTGCACAGTCAAAGGAATCACTGATTGAATTTTGAGCACAGTACCCCTCGCATGAATTAGAAAGCATATAGACACTACAAACTGGACAGTGCCAAGAAGAAAATACTTTCCGATTGGATAATCGTCATAGACCTGTAATGTACTGTACGACACACTGAGGCTTCATCACTAAACAAGTATATGATGTGATTAACACGATCAAAATAACGGGCAAATCTAAAGTCAAATTAGGGATCCTTGGCTTGAATATGATAATTCATAGCGTTACTCAGCATTGAACTAATGAACCCCATTGACAAACTAAGCGAACTGAAATTCTCTAAAACAGATATGCGGACCAACTCATCCATTATATCAGAATACATCAATAAAAGCAATAGAACATTATACGAAGAGGAAATATCAGACTATCAGAAGCAACAAAGTATTGTACCAGTAGTCCTCTTAGAGAACTCATCCCACCAATCTACAGGCTCCTCTTTCTCCGGCGACCCAGAGGCAGAACCATTTTCGTCATGTTTCTTCTCTACCTTCTGTCTCTTCTTCAATCCTCTCACAGGACCCATTAACCACAGAGAGTAAATCAAATCAAAACTCGAAAACCCCACCTACATAAACAAAACAAGGATTCGAGAGGTTGGGGACTCTAAAATTACACGAGAAAGAAGCACATTAATTACTACAGAATCATACTGACTACAGGCCTAAGGGAATGATGGGCAGTGACGTGGCAACAAGTTGTGAGAATAGTGATGATTAGCGGGGTTGGGTCAATGGGTGTGGATTTATGGCGATGTTTGAAGCATGCAGATATAGGTATGGTGAGCAGAGGGGAAGTAAAATTTAAGCAACAAAAATATGCGGGTTGGTGTAGGTTGAAGCCTTGAAGGTAATGTGAGAAGAGGTGGGAGGAACTTTGATATAGGAACTATGGAGAGCATCACCAACTTATGTCTCCACGAGATTTTCAGGGAGAGGTGCGCTGGCGTAGCAGGAGAAGCTTGCCTTCGCGCACACAACTCAACCTTATGTGTATCAATGTTCAGCGTCAAGACACATCAAACAATAAATTACTCCCTACTATGAGATTCTTTCCGGATAAAATTACACGTGTATACTAATAAAATTCATAAAATATAACTCATAATTTTAATTTTTATAAATTTCTGAAAACACCTGTCATTGATTAAAAAAAAGGAAGGTAATTTATTTTATGAGTAAAATAATAAGAGATAATATTAAAATAATAATTTATTAAAGAAATATTATTTTTATTAAATGTTTTATATTTTGAGATACTATATTTTCTCTAAAAATATCTTATAAAATTTGACTAAGAAAGTATTGTATTATTATTATTTCATGATGTGGTTTCGTTCTTTGATTTGAAAATAAAATTAGCCCGACTCTCCTATATGAAAAAGTTATTCATGACATGAAATTTGAGTAATGGAATAGCTTTTTTATACTTCATCTTGTTTAAATATAAGTTTTTTTATTAATTTTTATTCAAAATATAAATAATCTAGTATATGTAAAAAAATTTTATTTTACCTCTTATATTTATTAATCTAAATATTTATATAAATATATCTCTCACTCATTATAAAGTGTATGGGATTAGGGATAAAAAATAATATATATTTTTATATGATTGTAGACTTTATTGACATGCAATTTAAAAAAAATTGCTTATATTTTAAATCAGAGAAAGTAGATTATTTTTTTAACCATAGAGGAAGTACATTTTAAACGGTGCCTTTTCTTATATTTTTATATTGTGTGTGTGAAAATAGTTAAGAAAAATAATTTTCGTTTCCATAAATTTAAAAAAAAATCCATTTTTATCACTTATTATTGACCAATATACATAGTGCAGGTCTCCTATGACGAAAAAGATATAATGAGTAATAATCATAATTTGTTTAATTTCAATTAAATAAGTTTTGACTAAATTGTTACAAATCACGCTTTCCAGATCGATGTATCTTTGGAATTTGCTTGTAGAGGAGACTCAGATTTATCATCGAACCAAAGAAAAACATGTTTTTTTAAATTCAGGGTCGAATTTAAGCATGCTTTTAGTCTTGAATAGCATGTTTTTTAAAAATTAACAAGAAAGGTGTTTCACTTAAGAAAATATTTAAATTTTAAGAGAAAAACGCATGTTTTGGCAATAAAAAAAAAAAAAAGTCGATACTTCTAATAGACTGAACCTACGCAATAATACTTTATGACATTTATCCTTCCGCAGACTGATTAACAGCTGAATTTTGCGGAATAAGACAAGTAGTCACAACAAGTGGCAGCATTGAAAGATTCTTTTTCTTGGATAAAAACCATTATAAAATAAAATAAAAATCGTATAATTTCTTTTATTCAAAGGTATATCTCTTGAGAAAATAAAATCGTATAATGTTGATTTTTGAAAGTAAACTTCACAACATACCAAAATGAAAGTGCGCTACTAAAAAAATCACTTATATGTAATATCATTTATATAACAGTTATTTTAAAAATCGTTATATAAAAGGGATGAGATTGGGTGCCGGAGACTATATAATGGTTATATATAACTGTTATATAGTCTGTCAAACTATGTAACGATTAATTAAAAAAACAGTTATATAATCTTTATTTTTAATTAATTTTTTCTAAACACTGTTTAACGATTAGTTTAAACTAATTGCCAAATAGTTTCAAAAACTATTTTCAACCTGTAGACTATTTAGCAGTTGTTTAGAGTTAATTGCTAAATAGTATCATTTAAAATCTTTTCAGATATCAAAGTTTTCGCAAATGCTGCATTTCAAAAAACATCAAACTCTCTACTTCCTGCAAACCTCTCCCGTTCCTCACAAAACCACTTCCATTGTTCTTGAAAAGTAATTTTTGACTAAACCTCAGTTGTTCTCTACCATCAAAGAGCTTTCTTTCATCATCGCCATACTTGACCATGAGTTTTTTCGTGTTTTTTCCTGGGTTTTTGTCATTGGTGGTCATTAGGCGTCTGTTGGTGTGCGTCTTCTCTTCTTCATTCTTTGAGTGCTTGGTTGGTGATTTTTATCCCTGATCTCCCCTAGTTATTATTTTTATTGAGTTTTGTTTGTTTTCTATGATAATGTACATGCAATTGTCTTTCTCCATTGTTGTGCTTTCCGTTTCTCTATTTATTCTGTTGGGAGAATTTCAAATAAAAATTAGGGATATAATGTAATTACTAATGAATCCCAAAAAAGGATAAAGATAAAAATAATTTTAACTGTGAAAAGACTAAAATATCATTCACTTATTATGCAAAATCACTAGTTATTGATTTTTTTTTCACTTGTTAATTTACTAATATGAGTTACAAATTACATCAATTGACATATCAATAATTATATAAGATTTAACATTAGTTGTTTAATTATAAGTAACAACATCGATTGTTAAATTGCTAACTTTACTTGTTAATTTACTGACTTCCTTTGTAAAGTACTGTCAGGTCTTGTAATTTATAACTGATATGGGTATATTAATAAGTAAAATTAGTAAATTAACAATCAGTGATTTGTATAAAAGTGAAGAGTACTTTGATCTTTTCATAGTTGAAATTATTTTACTTTTAATTCTTTGGACTGAACTAAAATTTCATATTTTTTTGGTACCCACTAGTAATTATGTCATATCCTTTATCCTTACTTGAAATTCTCCCTATTTTTTATATAAAAAATGATATATTAATAATTTGAACTTAATTTTATTAACTTTTATTTATTTATAAGTTGAATTTACTTGCTTTCCAAAATGTATACACTCTAACAATGTAAGTATATCTGATATACGAATGGAGTTTTAATTGTTTTTTATATTGGATTATTCTTTGAGTAATTATTTCTTGGTTTTGAATTACGGTATTTTTTTCTGTTTGCATCAAAGTATGATGAAATTGGGTAGTTAATTTGATTTTATTATCTGAAATGGTGTTGTAATATGCTCCTATTGTTCTATAAAACAGAGCATTGTTATGCATGAAAAATCATTTTTATACCATTATAATGTAGATTTAAAAAAAAAATATTGATCCTACATAGGTTTAAAACATTCCTTTTTAGAATGGTATAAAGAGAGGGTTATGCCACCAATTTTTTTTTTTCAAACGTAATAGAACATGATTAAAATTGTTTATAAAACAGAGCATTGTTATGCATGAGAAAATTCATTTTTTATACCATTATAATGTAGATTTAAAAAAAAAAATTATTGATCCTACATAGGTTTGAAACATTCCTTTTTAGAATAGTATAAGAGAGGGTTATGCCACCAATTTTTTTTTTTCAACGTAATGGAACATGATTAAAATTATGTTTAATATATCAATATTGATCCTACAATTAGAGAAGAACAATATGATAGCATGTGACCAAAGCATTGATTCTTTATATTGTTTAACTGTCCTAATTGATCAAATTTTATTTTCAAATAAATAATACTAGATTGACATTATGAATAAGAGATGAATGTTTGCTTGGTGTGCATATCAAGAATACTATGATGGGTTCAAAAATTCATTAATAAAACCATTGTATAGTTGATTGAATTATTGGTGGGACTTTCTAACTACTATTCAAACAATATATCTAACAGTTTTTAAAAATATCATATATAAATTCAAACTATATACTATACCCTCCGTTTAAAAAAAAGGTATTTTTTAAAAAGTTGAATGTTCAAAAAATGCAAGGCATTTTTAATTTTTGAGTTGTAATCATTACCTTTTTTTTTAAGTGCCTCTATTGATAATAACTTTATATTTATTGTAGGATATTTAATAGGGGGCAAATATAAAAAGATAGGGCTAGTTGAAAAGTAAGTAACTATGTTATTAGGGGTGAAATTCAATACAAATACCTTGATATTTTTTTAATGAAGGGAATAGCAGTTAAAAATTATTATACAATTGTTTTGAGACCATATAGCATTTCAATATATAGTAGTTATTCATCTTTATATATAAGAAAAAATAACTATTGTATGAAGTTTTTTTTAGCAGTGGCGACACGTTTTTTTAATTACTTTGTTCATTTGAAAATGTAACTCTAATTTTAATAAATGAACAATGTCCTAGCTCATGATGATTTGTGAAAATTTCTTTATATTATATATAGATATAATATTGAACTGGTAATTGGACCCGTATGATGGACGGGGTGTGAAAAAAAAGATAAGTTAAATAATAATGAATACTTAATACAAATTTAAAATCTAATTAAATTAAATGGACATATTTTAACCAAACTTATTAATGTTTAAAATAAATTTTAAAATGAATATAGATAATATAAATTTGGGTACATCTAACAACATCTAAAACATTTAGATTAAAGGAACCTTATAAAGAAATAACGTGGTACACATATTTGAGAATAATGTATAATTAATAATAATAAACATCCAATAAAAATGAAACGATAGAGAGAATATAAGGATGACATGCACAAATTGAAGAAGAAGAAGAGAATAAATAATAATAATAATAATAAAAGAGTGACCTCCTAATAATGGGAACATTTGGATTCAAAGAAAAATTAAATCTTCTCAAAGTGAAATGATAAAAACACATAATCCAAAAATAAATAGGAATAAGAAATTATAAACTATAATTACAAGTTATAGTAAAAAGGAATAATATACCACTACCTTGCACTGATATGTAAAATGATATATAAAATTTGTAAAAAAGGTAAAAAAATAATTTAAGTAATAAAATACTTAATTAACATTCAAGATCTGAATTCTTTTTGAATTAAAAATATATATGATGAAATCATGAAGTGATTGTGTATAATATGATGAGTAAATATACACTTGATTGTGCAAACATGTTATTAAGAGGATATATATTTTCACATAGCCTATAATGTATGGGTTAAGAGCGTCAAATTAAAGGATTTTATAATCATATATGACATTGTTTACAATAGTGACTGCCAATTATTATGCTCAACAATACACAACTCTCAA